GTGAACACCCAAATAACTTGTTTATTCTGATGCTGTAGGGTGTAGTGATTTTTTCTTAAAGCTGCGCTCTTCATGAATTGTTCCATACACATATCTAAGTGTTCATGCCAAACTTGAAGCTGAAATGTCGGTGTTTAGTCTGCAGCATTTGCAAATGGAATTTAAAAATTTACTTGTGTTGTTGCTGTGTAATATACATTGTGCAAATGTACAATCTTTATATTCAGATTTGTTCATTCACTGCCTCTCTGCGTTCTTATCAGTTTAACTGATCAATTGACTATTGAGATTGCGACTTTATTAACGAGGGCAGCCACAGATCATGCATTGTTTGGCTTTGCAAGTTTTCTTTCAGTCGATAAAGTTCCCACGAAGGGCAAGAACTTAAAGAACTGCTGGCGATATAAATGTGATGAAGGAAAGTTTGCAGATGTCTCAATGATTATCAGAAATTTGGGAAAAGCAATTGGAGATGGACAGACTGGTCCTATTGTTTGCAAGAAATCGTTAGACGAAAGGTGTAAAAATTGTACAGTAAAGGAATGAAAGAATGTGAGCAAAAAGGAAGAAATGAAAGAGTTGGTTAATATCTGTATTGTTACTGCATTCCTGTCTCGTGTTAGAATGTGAAGGGCAAAGTTAAGAAGTGCCAGAGATATCACCTGACATGTTACCTATATATATATATATATATATATATATATATATATATATATATATATATATATATATATACAAAAGATGCCTGTGTGTCTGTCTGTGTGATACCTTTTCACACAAGATTCATCCATCCGATTCTGACCAAACTTAGCACATACATTGTACAGTGTAAGAAATAGGTTCTTAGTGTAAAAATCGATAATTTTTAAAAGTCCAATAATCGATAAAGCCGAGCAAATATCGATAAATTCAACCTTTTTTCCTACGATTTCCTTCATCCTCGGTAAGTATGCTACTTAACTCCCGACCAGCTCAACGATATGTCATTTTTATTTCTACGCCACTATGTTTAGCAAAAAACGAAAAATCGATTTCAACACAAAACTATTTCAGCTAAAAACTCCCTCACTTTTCAAATAATCTAATAAAACTCCACTCAATTGTAGCCAGCAATAATTTGATTGTTTAACATTCATTTCATTTGATAACTGAGTCCACCCATATTGAGAAAACCCACATAAATTGCGAAAAAAAAGTCGATTTATATTGGTTTCTATCTTATTTTTCTTTGACCTTTCAACCAATTTTCATCAACGTTAAGAATTGCTTTTTTAAAGCATCTTCATTTACGTCTCTGGTAGCACACTTAAACATTGAATTTCAAAAACTCAAAAATAATTGTGGCCTGAAATAGGTCTTCATGTTGCCTGTTTTACCCCTTCATGTTCTCAGATAACGTCGATCGAATAAATACGGACTCCATCTGTTATATCTGTGAGTGCATTAATTCAATTTTTCTAATGAAAGTTATTTGAAATAATTGCAGTAGATAGGCCATTTATATCTAAACGTGATGCTGTATTTGCTCCATTCTACTTGAACGTTTTTTCTGATCGACTAGCTGGGTATGGCTGCTAGTTGTTATATATAAGTTCTCAAACATGATATGCAGTTCTTCACTGACTAGTGAAATGATAGGAATATGAAAATTGCAGGGATTTAAATTAAAGTGACGATGATGTGGGTCAGAGTGAGGCTAAGAAAGAAGAATTATGCAGACAGAAACAACCGACAATATGATCAAAGACATAAGGAATTGGTAGCTGATTATATTCCTTGTGTTGAAGATAATTCGAATGATTCCAGAGATATCCCACCTACCAACACTGATGCTGAATTTGTCCTCGATCTAAAAGCACTGATAAACACTAACTCACAGCATAGGACAAGACTCCACACAGTGGCTGCCGCTTGTGACCGATACGTGAATAGTGATTATGCAGTAACTGCTGTTGTTATTGCTGGTGCTATATACTACGGTATTATCACAAAGGATGACAAGAACTAATTTACTGGACCGCTATAAGCTACCAGATGCGAGACAATAATACCGATTGAAGAAGCAAGAAATTCAGTGGCTGGTTTTGAAAATATGACGTCACTGTAATTTGATGGTAAGAATACCGTCACTAGTGTGATGATATAAAATGAAAAGACCAATAGATGGAGTTTGAGTATGATGGTGAAATATCATTATGTTATCATAGGGGAGCTTGGCAATGAATATCTCACACATTTGACTTTTAAGACTTGACACGGAAAGCAGATTACCAATACTATTCACGAGTTTCTAGTGGAGAAAATTCTAACCCAGGAGCCCATTGTATATTTTGTTAGTGATGGAACCTATGTAAATTTAGTATCAGAAAATGGAGCCATTCAAAATAATGAATGTAATTCGATCCATTATTTCATCTGTCAGTTTCACGGAAATAATCTACCTTTCCGCGCTGTTTCCTATCCTTATGAGGGTAAATCACGTGGTCTTGAGCAATGGCGTGCGACTGTTGGAAACTAGATTAAGGAGCCTTTGTCTAAGTTGCCAGTTGTTGACTTCCCCTCAGTCAGTTTCACTGTTTCCTTGTCTCGAACGAAGAAGTGAAGAGAGATCTGTCCTGTGATCAGAAATATCAGATTTTCCAAGCGTAGATCAGTGGTGGCACAAGGCTGAAAGCATGGGGCAGCCAGTGAGGATCGAAATCACTACTCGGTTGTAATTATTCTAGCGAGACAAGCTTGCTAACAATTACACCACCTCGAGGTGTCCGAAATATCTATTTAATATTTGTAAAGGGATTATTTCAGGTGTTGCTAATGATGACTTCTTTTCTATTGATGCAGGTCCTCCCTCCATGTCAAAGTGGAATAGAATTCTCATGCTGTATGTAGCAACTTTAAGATCCAAACATGACTTGAAAAGAATCGTTATTACAATAATAAAGTTCAGCACTCCAATGTAGTTCTACATCAAGATGCGCCCTTACGTAAAACACCGCTCAATATCTGCTATACATGAAAAACCAGAATAGTAAGAAGACGATAGTGAAGAAGACTGTCCAGAGAGATGCATACTTTGCTCACACAGATCAACTTCTTGGTATGCGTGCAGACGAGGACACGATTGTTAGAAAAAAAGCTGCCTAAGTGATAAGAAAAATCGAATCAGCAGATGGAAGAATGCACTGACAGCTCTGATGAAGAAGAATAATATTTTGCTGCTGCTTTTGACAAGAATTTGTTAACCAACACTGAAGACGAGGGGAACAGTGAAGGTGGAGATAGGAATGAGTATGTGTCTCCTGTAGTCTAAATGAGAAAATTGGTGACGCCCAAATTAAAGTAGCAAGCAAAAAAAAAACTATCATTCCAGTATTAACCGGGTGAATGAACTTAAGATTGAGCCTCCTTGCATTGTTTCTCTATCAGATCAACAGGTTAATGATATTTTTGAGACATTATTAGTCATGATCATGTCGCCAAACACTACTCGAGCGGTCGAAAGAGAGATAAAAGTAATGACTGACGCTTTCACTGAAGTGACGGGATACAAAACGAGGGATGGATATATTAGGCAAAGATCATTGTCTAAGAAAATATGTTTGCAGCGTCCCCACAAAAAAAATTACACTATTAACTTTTAATATTTTAATATGAGGTACCTCTTAAATAATATTGGAATGAAATTGATGTCACCGAAGTATAATTAATTATTATCCCGGCAAACGATAAATGACACTTATTTTTTTTTTTGTTGTCCGTTAACAAAAAGTCGATTTCCGTAATTTCACTCTAAGTTTGCATATTTCTGGAAGAAGGACACTTAGTTGGCCTGTGTGTATATTTTGTAGTGTAAAAGAACATTTCTGAATGTCATATATTCCATTTGGTCTTTCCCTTCTGGGACTTCTCCATATCCATAGACGTCTTGGGTTATTTTGAAAGCAAATATGTTGGCTACTAACAGATTATTCGCTGTTCAACATTGAACATTTTTTTCTCTGCATTCATTACGAGTTTCTAGATCGTATTTTCCCACTATCAAACCTTCTACTCGCCTATTTTGGCATTTCGGTCTCCCATGGCGATTGTAATTTGCCTTCAGCCTTGGCGTTATCTAGCCTACAATCAAAAATCAAAATTATAAGACAAAATGGAGGAAGTGAAAAAATAAAAAAAATATTACTCACCGTAAGATGGTGAATTTAAAATAATATAACAAAATATGTTTACATTTTTTGTCCTTGATTTTCACTAAATCATTTTGATAGTTTTATTTTTTTCATTCACCATATTTCTGTGTGTAATTCCCTAATTACAACTGACAGGAAAATCATTATGCTCAACTCTGAGAAAATCTTCAAGTAGTGCCTATATTTTAATGTAGTCTTTAGACAACTAATAGCTCTATGCAAGACCGACATTCGTAGAAGCAGATGTTGGTTACCAAGTGAATGTTCAAATGAGATGACATCTTTCAAAGAGCTAATTATAGAACACAGCCTTTCCATTTATGATTAGACGGAAGTGGCCACACTTGTATGGCTATAGACATAGCCAAGTGGGCACCTCGAGGTGGTGTAATGGTTAGCAAGGTTGTTTCGCTAGATCAATTACGACTGAGAAGTGAGTTCAATCATCACTGTGTGCCTCTTACTTTCTGCCTTGTGCCACATGTAGGATACGATTGGAAAATCTCTATAGACATATCTAAGAAAATTTTTCGTGACTGACATATATGTTCACCTTCAATATACGACAATTGAAAAAGGTGTTGATGTTTAGATTATAATCCTGGCCCTTTTGTGTTCAGTTTTCTATGATTTATTTGTTTCTACTTTTACATCTCTTGAAATTAAATATCAGGAAATGTCGATATTCGAATACATTATTTCAATTTAACACGGCATGCGGAAAGAGAAATACGCGCGAATTTTTATATTTATATTTTCTTATTTAATATTTACATACACTATGCATGGTTAAATGTGGAAGGAATTCAATGATTATTGAACTCACGTCCATGGGGATGGAGGCAGAGCTTACGTATTTTTACACTGTGAAGCGGGATTTGTTTATTATTAAAGTCTACAGTGAATTATCGGCTATTCCCAAAATATGAACTTGTTGGTATGATAAGATTTATCATTAATAAATTCGATTGGCAAAATAAGAGGAGAGAACAAGACTTTTTTTTTGTCTCATGGCTGAGATAGTTACGGATTTCTCTGTGGTGCCAACAGGTTTCCATTGCAAGCAATTATTTAGAAGATTCACCTGATAATGTCCTTTATCCTCATGTCCTCAATTAGTTTTATGTTTGGATATTAAAATCAAAATTTTAATATTGATATTCATGATTTTTAACAATAGTTTTCCTGTGAAGATTTACATTTTCATGTGATGTGATTTTTCTTATTTGGTGAAGTTATTTGTCGTTATGTATCGCCTGTCTATTGAACCAGCTATAAAGCCTAATATAATAATGGCTGACATTTATAGTTACCTTAATCTTACGGGATAAGGCGTGATGGTGATTTTCTAAGAGTAGCTTAGATGGGGCAGAATCCGAAAGTGGGAAGTACCCTGTGATGATTGAATTCACTACTCAGTCTTAACTGATGAACGAGTCTAGCATGCTAACCAGATGATCTGTTCTTGATGCAAGACCATATAGGATATCGCCAGATAAAATATGGAACTGTTTTGATGTGTTGCAAATAAGGAGTATCGCTGGCGGCAATGCACTGAGAAAACACGTGGTTGATAGAAACGGGTAAATGAGCTCTGGATTTGAGCACAGAGGTCCCAGTCACAAGAGTGAGATGGGTTTTACATGTTTAAAGCTATGATGTAGTAGAGACATACACATATACAGAGTGATATACTGTTCAATATATCTTTCTCAAGACTTTTCTGTCAACATGACTATATTTGTTACTAATTTTAACCCAATACAGGGACCAATGGCCACTCTAAGTACAGGGTTACTAAATGAGGTGGGTGAAATAAAAAAGGAGAAAACAGAAAGTAAAAAAATAATATCTAGAATATGTCAGATAAATAGCGGTTGATCTCGACATGAAAAGGCTCAGGTCTGGTGATAATAAAAAAATTGAGCCTGTCAGAACATTTACAATGGATGTACCATGGAATAGCGAAAGGCTTTCGACGTTGTATATATGGGAAAGAGCTGAAGTGGAAAATAAGTTATAACCCCATGGTCGTGTAAACACTGACAAAACCGGAAAGTGACGATTGAGAAGTTCCAAACCAGATATGACTGCAATACTAAATTTTTGTCTTTATCTGATGCTTGTAGATACTAAGCATGACAGAATGTGTCAGATACTTGGTGGGATGGTACAATGAGTCGCACATTTTTTCACATGTTTTAAAAATAGCTTGCAAGTTTGGGCAGTGAATACTTTTGTGTTCCACACACACACACACACACACACACACACACACACACACACACACACACACACACACATATATATATATATATATATATATATATATATATATATATTATATTTATATATATATATATATAATCAACTCTCCCGTCGAGATTCGACGTATGAGGGTCAAGCAGATCAGTTTCCAGGAAAACGACAGCCCGACACCGGCACATCCAAGGTTATAGAACCCAGTTTAATATAGAAGGCACGTTGGAGTAATGGATAGCGGCTTGGATTGAGGAATCGCAGAGCCGAGTTCGTATTGCAGTCGAATCCATTACATTCACTTACGTGCTAATACCCTTGGGAAAGGTATGAATCCTCTTCCTCTCCCTCCAGCTATGGGTAAAATAGCAGGATATATATATATATATATATGTATATTTACCACTAATATTATCTATAGATAGATAGATAGATAAATAATATTAGTGGTAAATATACATATACATAATATATAAATACTTGTCTGTATGTCACCACAAAATGTATCCTTTCCGATTACATCTTTAATGTATTAGACATCCAACAACATTCATATTTCTCTCAGTTAAACCGTCTTTGACTCCCCTCTCTAAAACTTCTCTCTGTTAAATGTTAATCCCCCACCTTCACTCGTCTGTTACCCCTCTCTTTAGCTCTAACATTCGTCCGACACTCTCATACTTACACTCTCTCAAAATTTTATTTTTTATTTCCGGATTTGTTTTTTCTGTTTTCTTTTTGAATTTGTAGGTCTGATGCATTGGATCGTATTTACGATTCCAATGGAATAAATTATGACCATGGAATATTAGTGTTTAAGACTTTTTATATATATATATATATATATATATATATATATATATATATATATGTCATTATGTTAATGTCTATATACGACTGGTGTAAGAAAACCCGGATATTAAAATATGCAAATAAAAATATATTATAACAAAGTTTATCTTGGGAAAACACTGGAAAAAAAAGAAAATATTAAAAACGCCAGAGTAGTCCGAAAAAATCGCCCAGTGTCGTGAGAAAAGATAATAAAAAATAATCGAATAAAATAGGAAGAAAACGCAAAGTGCTCAATACACTACGTAGAAGAGTTTCAAAAACGAAAGTGATAGACATGGCACTAGCCTCTCTAACCACATATGGAATATAAAACAAGAAGAAAGAATCGACCAGATTTTAAAATGGGGAATATTTTTAAAAAATGTTGTAGATATAAAGCCGGCAATAGATATTGTCTGCTATGCCTGGAGAAAAAGCTAGCCATAGATTATTTTAGTAAATCTGATATCTTATTTATCCAAAGACCAGAAATCCTTAACGGATGTAACTATAAGAAAGCATGATGACTGGAATAAAAGATTAATTATTTTGTAATATTTCTTTTTTCTTTCGTTTAAAATTCATATAGTTTTATGCTAATTTTAGTTTTTAGTATTTGTTTTTAACAATACTTTTTTTGTTCCTTTCTCATATCCTTCTCAACCAGCTTACCCTGAAGATCCATTTAGGTGAAACATAGGTAGGTAGTTTCTGGCTCACTAGGATTTATATATATATATATATATATATATATATATATATATATATATATATATATATATATGGAGAGAGATAGAGAGAGAGAGAGAGAGAAAGAATAGATAGCGAGAGAGAGAAAAGAGAGAGAGTGTTATAAGGGACTTATAGCTATTTTCATAGAATATATTTCCCCGTAATTTCTTGACGGAAAACACCAAAATATCGCCAGTCGTTTGTGTATATGTCAAAGCTTCAAATATGAACTAGAGAAAATACCATATGGCATAACATAAATCATACTGGCTTATATGTAAAGTAAATTTTACCAGAACTATTTTAAACAAGAATTTCTTTCATTTAATATTTAACATTGAAAAGGAAACAGCGGCCGATTGCTTCAGAATAGATGTAGAAAAAATAAATGAAATTATCTGATCCATGATTTTACTTGTCACATTGCATATTGGTGATCTCCTGATACGATCGTGGCTGCCTGTGAATCATGTAGCGCCATATTAATTTCATTTCACGAAATGGATCCCAAAATCTGAATATAAATAATAAATAAATAAAGACATTGTAAATTGATTCAAGATAAACAACGAAAGAAATGTCTGAGCATCTGCAAATTTGAAAATGAATAAATAAATGATATTGCCAACTCATTGTACTTATTTTTTGTTAAGTGCCAGTCAAACGGACGAGAAAATGTCAGTGATTATGTAAGTATGTATCTATCTATATAGCCAGCTAGCTCTCACATTCTGTTCATAACTACCTACATATATATCCGTATCTATTCAACACTTTTAATCCATTCATTTATTTTATTCTTTTAATTCATTCATCTATTCATATATCATATTCTATTTATCTATCTCATTCTTTTCATATCAATCTATCTATCAATCTATCTATCGATCTATCTATCTATATCTCATTCTTTTCATATCTATCTATCTATCGATATATCTATATCTCATTCTTTTCATATTTATCTATCAATCTATCTATATTTCATTCTTTTCATATCTATCTATCTATATATTGATATCGCAGTCTTTTCATATCTATCTATCTATTTATCGATCGATCTCTTTATCTATATCTCATTTTTTTCATATCTATCTATCTATCTATCTATCTATCTATCTATCTATCGATCTATCTATATGTCATTCTTTTCATCTCTCTCTCTCTCTCTCTCTCTATATATATATATATATATATATATATATATATATATATATATCGCAGTCTTTTCATATCTATCTATCTATCTATCTATATATATATATATATATATATATATATATATATATATATATATACATATATATATATATATATATATATATATATGTCTTTTATATCTATTTATCTATCTCGTTCTTTTCATATCTATCTGTCTATCTATCTGTCTATATATCTATGTATCGATCTCATTCTTTTTTATATCTATCTATTTATCTATCTATCTATCTATCGATATCTAAGATCTATCTATATCTCATTCTTTTCATATCTATATATCTATATATCTATATTTCATTCTTTTCATATCTATCTATATCTATATATCTATAACTATATATATATATATATATATATATATATATCGCAGTCTTTTCCTATCTATCTATTTCATTCTTTTCGTATCTATCTATCTATCTATCTATCTATCTATCTATCTATCTATCTATATATATATATATCGCAGTCTTTTCCTATCTATCTATCTATCTATCTATCTATTTCATTCTTTTCATATCTATCTATGTATCTATATATATATATATATATATCAGTCTTTTTATATCTATTTATCTATCTCGTTCTTTTCATATCTATCTGTCTATCTATCTGTCTATATATCTATGTATCGATCTCATTCTTTTTATATCTATCTATCTATTTATCTATCTATCTATCTATCGATATCTAAGATCTATCTATATCTCATTCTTTTCATATCTATATATCTATATTTCATTCTTTTCATATCTATATATCTATAACTATATATATATATATATATATATATATATATATATATTTATATATATATATATATATATATATATATATATCGCAGTCTTTTCCTATCTATCTATTTCATTCTTTTCGTATCTATCTATTTCATTCTTTTCGTATCTATCTATCTATCTATCTCTCTATCTATCTATCTATCTATCTATATCTATATCTATCTATCTATCTATCTATCTATATATATATATATATATATATATATATATATATATATCAGTCTTTTCATATCTATCTATCTATCTCATTCTTTTCATATCTATCTGTCTATATATCTGTCTATATATCTATGAATCGATCTCATTCTTTTCATATCTATCTATCTATCTATCTATCTATCTATCTATATATATATATATATATATATATATATATATATATATATATATATATATATTATATATATTCTTTTTTCATATCTATCTATCTATCTATCTATCTCTGTTTATTCCATCCTGCTGAAAACGCGTTTTCTATCCTGCAGTTTTTTTAATCTTTTTTGGGTGCATCGCTGCTATATCAGCATTTTCCAGTTATTTGTTCTTTGCAAAATTCTCATTAAGCTATTCCTCTTTTCCTGTTTGCAATTATTCCTGATCTTACTTTTGGATTACCATCATATTGTCTACGGCATTTCTTTGCGCTATCAGCTGCCTCTCTTTCAATCTAGAATTTCTCCTGTTATAATCTTCTTTCTTTTTGTTATCTTATCACTGCTTTTCCTATTGTAACGAGTGTTTCCTTCTAGGTGTTCTACTTTAAGTTCCTGACCTGATCCACTTTTTTTTCCTAACTACGTCTTTATATATCTGTTCGCTAGTTGAAATCCCAGTGGAATTTTGCCTCTTGCATTTTATGTATTGCTTTAGACTACACTTTTTCTACGCTTGTTCTTCTTACCTTCTTACTCCTGCAGTCGAAGCTTGAGTGTTTTGTAAAGTGTAAAACCGATTTTCTAAAACGTCTGATGAAAGTGATTTCTCATTAGGTTTTTAATGCTTTTGAGGAATTTTTACCAAACCCAAGTGTTACTTATTTGTTCTTCCATAATGTTAGTAACTATTTTACCAATCATAGTGCAACAATAAAAACCTTCTTCCCGGCGTTTGTTACTCGATACAACACCATATTTTCCAAACATTTGCATCATTGTTCATGTCTAGCTTTTACATAATTTATTCCCGGTAACATAATAATGTTTTTTTTTTTTCGTTTTTTTTGTGAATTATTCTGATATTTTATATATTCTTGTGCACTGTAAATATTACTAATACTTTCTTCAGTCTGTTCAGCTACGTGTGCACATCACCATGATCGGCATATCGAATGGCTTTATTTTGCGCCTCGCCAGAACTTTATATCACAGATCTTAAAATCTTAAAATGCATTCGTTTTTTATAACATATAACAGTATTAATACTACAGCCTTATTCAGGTTAACCTAACAAAGCCTTTTATGTTATTAATTCAGTACATGGATCGATTCAAGAAAATTTCATCGTATAAATCTAAAAGAATATCTGTTTGTTATTTGTTTCAATCTTCAAGAGATGTCGGATTGGAACCATTATTAAGAAGTCACAATTGTAATGAACAATACAGAAGAAAACACGAGTTTTAAATAAACTTTCAGTGAAGACTCTTTTTATATCTTACAATTCTCTAGAGCATTCGTATATTAGATATCATGAGTTTTATCAAAACATTATGGGAAGTCTTTCAAATATTACAAACATCAATAGCATTTATAAAGATAACGATTTTTATGAAAACTTTCAGAGACGTCCGCCATTTTTATATCGTACAATTCTCTATATCATTCATAAGGAAGGGTTTTGAGAAAAAATTAGTAACAAAATTATATATTTAATACTAGTTATTGTAAAAATCTGATTTCTCACGTATTATTAGGAGGCCATTAAATAAATTCCTTTTCCTTTTAAGTCCAATTAACTATCTGAGTTTCTTAGGAATTTCGTCTCAACTCTAATATTTAATTGCCAGAGTTTTCAGGATTCCTGTTTCCACTCTGCCTTTGAATTGGCAAACATAAAATTTTGTCATTCATTTTAAATAATCATAAAAGTAGTGCCCTTTGAAAAAACCCATCCAGAACACAAGTGGACAGATAATGGGTTGGGACAGATAATGGCTAGTGTCCATATAAGCTGAAAGATGCAGGAAGTCAGTGCGTAAGTAAGGGACCAGTGGCCGGTGATGAAGCAGTGAGGAATTTAGACGGTCAGTGAATTTAAGGCCGGAATTTAGGGAGATAACAGTTCAGCCGAAGGAAAACATTGGAGTTTTAGTGACAATTCGTATTATTGCTGTTTCCAAACCAGAGGGTACTGAAAAGGATTTTCCTTTACTTTTTGTTGAATTCGATCACGGCCAAGGAGGAAAACCTTTGAACATAGCGAGTCGGTTGTATATACAAACACAGCCGACTTTGGATGTTACCCCAGTTGATCAGTGAACGACGTGCGAACTATAGAAAATAATAAAACCTGAAATAGGAATACACAGAATAAACTTCAAAATAAGCCACAAGAATTACATAGATGTAATATAATTGATTATATGAACGCAAAATGGATCTTTTACGAAACACACTCAGTGAAGTCTTCATCGTAATAAGTCTAATCGTATTTTCGAGTTAAAGAATTCAGTTTAATTGAAAGAAAAAATAATTGATTAAGGTGAAAATATATGGAAATATAGTATTTTCTGAAGCATTCGTAGTCAATTTATATCCAATACCATACAAAAAATGTAATTTGCTAATCGTAGCTTGGATGTGACAAAAGGGCGCGAATATGGTGCGCACGACCTTACTAATCAGTTGTAGTTGATGCAGTGAGACATGTTTACTAACTACTAAAGCACGTCGAAATGGCCAGATCATACAATATAATTCCTTTCTTAACAAAACTACTTCCTTTATAATATGGGAGAGTTAAAACACTAGAAATAAATACTAAGGCTGAATAGGTATATAACTGAACGATGTCAACTAGGTTATACATCGACATCGGACTACAAAAAGTTAACATAATGTTAAGCGTAATTGATATATCAGCGTTTCCTCGATGGAGACTTTTAAATAATGTTTGTTGTATTGTAGATATGATTCAATCAATCAAAATGTTATTAGTCGGAATAAAACCATAGGAATGGGTAAAATAATAACTCAGTGTTTTGCCATTTTTTTATTTTTCTTTAATTATTTCACACCAAAGAAGTGAGAAAGCGACTATAAATCAATGTTTTACTCGGTGTAGAAAACACTGAGGAAAAAAAAAGTTTACTGGGAGAGAGAGAGATAAAGAGAAAGGAGGGTGGATAAAAAAAAGGTTTTAAGGAGAGAGACGTTGGCCATTAATGTTGCATTTAATTATCTTTTTAAGATTCTATTTGATAGGACAGATGTAGAATGAGAGTTCCAAAAACGTAATGAATGAAGGAAGAAACTATTGACATAGAACTTACGGTTAAACATTCATTTCAATAATAAAATGATGAAATCTACCGGCGGATTTATTACTACATTTAAATTCGTGAATTCGAGGCACCAAAGTGGAAAGATCATCAGAATTACCATGAAAATATTTATAGAAAAAAGCACAAGAAACTACTTCATGGCGGTAGGATTTTAAGTCTTGTATCTCTATATATTTACATGTCATATTTCCCATAGTTATTGTAGTAAAAACAGAAACTGTGAATAAACTTATACCAAAGTTTTATTGCACTTTACTCTGACTACTCGTATACTGACGGATTTTACACTCTAGATGTTAAGGGGAGGTAACTGATGATTTATCAATGCGTTTATATGTGTGACTGATAGATAACATGCAACTAATCTTTTCGTTTAAAAGCCCTTAATAGGCATTAAAAAGTCAACGCTTCTAGAATGTGACTCTATATACATATACAAGTTTGGTTCAAATATACGTGACTTTTACAAGCACACGTGCAGATTTCTCTACTTTATTTTCCTTCCGTCTGTTTCTATTTATTATTTTAGACTTTCTCCAGATGTACTGAATTATTTCTTGCACGTGTGATTTTCTTTAAACCCTGACACAAAGAACAAAGCTAAGTTTAGAGGAGTTTGCAGAATATCATATTACCATTCTGCAGCACTCCTGCTCTTTAAAATGCTTCTATTGAAAAAAAGAAAAAAAGTTTGTAATTATTCTTGGCTTTCGTTTCGTAGGAAGATTCATTCATGTTTCACTATGGTTCCCGTAGTCAAACCTGAGTGAATGTCTATTGTTTGAAGTAAGAGGGGGTTGTTTGTTTAGAAACGGAATCCCTACTGACCAGGCTAACAATTAGATTCAGATATAAACATTTTCCGTTTTTGTTCATCAACTTTTTTAGTATCCGTTTATATTTCTGAGATGAGGTATTATGTATACTATTTACATCATTCGGACTATTGTCCTGATCTTTGTCGCCATATTTATTATAACATCTCGGCCGTTGTACACTCCGGCTTTCTTCAGGTGGTTGGAATGTCGAACTGAACACATTATTTCGCTCACTCGTGTAGACTGTTGTAGTCCCACGTGGCATGTTTAATGGATGTCATTTATCTCCTGTTGATTTCTCTACGGGAGAGCGTAGCTGTAGTAAAAACAATGCATTTGTATGAATATATATATATATATATATATATATATATATATATATATATATATATATATATATATGTGTGTGTGTGTGTGTGTGTGTGTGTGTGTGTGTGTGTGTGTGCGTGTGTGTGTGTGCAATCTATTTAAGTAAATGGTTTGTTTTAATTAAACAGTATTAATTACATATACTGGCCTGAATATAAAGCATGAACAGAATACACACACACACACACACACACACACACACACACACATATATATATATATATATATATATATATATATATATATATATATATGTATATATATATATATATATATATATA